TGGTAATACATGAGAGTCTCTTCTTGTTATGAATGTTTTAAAAGATACTTCCCTGCAATGGCTTTATGTTTGGTATTTCACTGGCAGAAAACAGATCTAGAATATAAGTGCTTTTTTTTTTTTATTTTATACCCATGAAAATTTTTTTTATTTTTTTCAAGGGGGAAAAAAAAAAAAAAAAAAAAGGTATTTTTTTAATGTGTTTATCCAAAACCTCTCCTGCTGTTACTTTAAAATTAAAGCTGCAGGGCTAAACCCTCAAAAGCCAGGCATCAGACTGAAAACGCATGCTTCCCTTTATCCCAATGTATACATGTTAAGATACGATTTAATTACAAGTTCACGTAACTATCATCACACCAAGTCCTTTAACCATCATGTTTGTATCTAGCTCACAGCATGTTAAGAATTGATACTTTTTGTCCAATTTCTGGGTTATTGTTTCAGTAATTAACCAATTCTGTGGAATAATTCCTATTTACTAAAACGGATTGAACGTATGAAACGTGCAATGTATTCCTCTATCTCGCTTAGTTCCTAAACTACAAAGAAATGAGAAACTTAAGGGAAATCGCTGGTTACACGAAAGGGAAATAAAGTTTATCCTTCCAATTACGCCTGTGAAAAACATTAAGGTGACTTTACAGAATTCAGTAAGCAGGAAAAAAAGATTCTTCTAAATTTCTATTTTTTCTAAATACACTCCTCACAGGTTTGCCACAAAGTTCTTTCGCAGAGAACAAGAACTCACCACTAACAACATGGATAAACAAATTTAAAATTCTCTGTTCTACCTTACTTTAATGCTGCTTTTCAGGCCAGGTGATGAGGAAATCAGTTTTCAGTAAGTGGCTTATTTTGCTCCATGTGATGCTGCTTCTGGGCAGCAGGAGAGGAGCCAGCCCTGGCAGCGTACTTCTGGTTTTTAATTCCTGCCTGTATCAACTATTTTCTTTCTCCAAACCTTTTTCTTTTGCACTTCACACCGACACTGTCTTTCAATTCTATTTGACTCACTCCCTTTCAAACGTTCTCCCTTTCCTTCATCCCACCATTTGGTCCCCTGGCCACCCACACTGCCAATTAACAGCAATTAACTAGCATGACATTACAGGTAATACTAACAACAGCCATTAGTGAGAGAATTGCCCTCAGCAAGACAGAGCAATATGTTATTCAGGGTGATAATACCTCTTCAAGAAGACAGTTGTAAGTTGATGAGACTGTGCTTCTGTAACTTGGACACAACTGGAATAAATGTGTCTCTGTAGCAGCCAAAAAAGGTCCCGTTTTAACGTTTTCCTTGTCAGTTCAGACAGACTTCAGCAGCAATTGACAGGTGAACAATTTCATGCATGACTTTATGCACAGTCTGAAGCACACTATCTTCCTCTTACTACCTTTTTCAAAATCATCAAGTCTTGATTTACCTTCGTTTCTCTTATTTTCTCTGGCTGCCTTTCCAATTCCAAATCTTAGGTACCTGCAATGAAGGAATCTAAAGAACTCTGTTACGCTATTTTTTTTATAACTATTTACTACCCTTTGATATAAACGGATTGATTTTTTTAAACAACAACTAAAAGAGTTCCAACACCTCACTGGTTAATCCATAACTGTCCCTGTAAAATATGAAGAGAAGAAGTTGGAAATAGAAGGTGCAACATCAAAAAGTTCCCATGTTTCACCAATACCTCATGCAGAAGAAGAAGCGTAAAAAGATTCCTATTCCAATTCCAATTCAGTATTTAGTACCAAACAGCCTAAAAGGGTCTGAGCAGACTTCCTTCTGCATCCATTTCCTTTACTTTATATGGCTGCATGTTTAAAAAATGAATTACTGAGATGTTTATAACATATGGTAACATACTTCTGGTTTTTAAGCACTACATTTTTCAATCAAAACCTTGCTTTAGGAACACTAAAAGTTTGTTTTACTACATTGTTGAAATACATAGCAGTTACAAAAATAAATCCTACTCTTTGGAGAGCTACTGCACTGGGTTTTTCTGTTTGTCTATGGCGGTTTGACAAAGCTCAACCATCCAGAGACATCAGCTCCTCCCGAAAAGCTCTGAACAGCCCACTCGTGTGAGGGAGGCAGCAGGAAAAGTGTCTAAAGACCATGTTGGCAAAGAAAGATGCTTAGGAAGATCAGTACTGTTACTTTTTTTATCCAAGCACTTCAAAATTTGTCACTAGTCTGAACTGAGCAAATGTTGGCTTACAAGGCAGTAACAAACAGCATTTACAGAGAGGCTTGTGAAGGCTTTCTCTTAATACATCAGCTTTCCCTAAATATATCCCATCTTCTATCTATAGCTGATGTTGTACCACACCTCAGGCCCTTCTAAAATCCCAGTATTACAGCAGGCTGCCAGCTCTCTCAAACGCAACACAAGTCGATGCACAGTAGAAGAATCACCATACCAAATTCTACTGCTTAATTCAGGGAGGCGTGAAGGGAGCCTGAGAGAGCGCTCATCTATTTCTAAAGCAAGCTCTCACATCTTCTTTAGCTTAATCATCTTCTAAGGACACTCGTTTAAGTGGTCTTATCAAAAACACGTCCTTTGAGTACAAAAAGGCAAGCAAATGCCATCATTTATACACCTTACTGCAAAATAAGCAACAATGACCTACACCTACATAACTAATAAAAGAGGGAAGCAACAAAAAAATGAGGATGTTCATGTTTGGCTTTCTTCAAACATATGTAATGACCAAAATAACCGGCTTTTTAAAAAAACTTCAATAGGTGTTTGTACTGCTAATGTCAGAAGTTCTTCCCACTTCTTCAAATTTGTTCTCGTATCTCCTACAACCGAAGAATGAAAGATTTTGAATTAGACAATCCTAAGATGCTGCTGCAACACTAAATACTCTTTTTAGAACAGAGGTAGCAATTTTCATCCTTATTTTCCCAAATATTGAGAATTTCCAAGTGAAATAAGGCTTAATGCAATCTATGCAACACAAATACCAGTCAGCAACGAGACTTTTGTGGAATGCCTGAACAATGAAAGAAGAACATCTTTTTGAAGAACATCATCTTGATGTTCTTCAATGTATTTGTCCAAAAATCCTTCAATCACAAGCATATTATTAAAGACACAACTGCAAATAACTATTAGTCCTTCATACTAATATAAGGAAGTTTAAATAGACGGAGCTTCACTAAAACCTTTACCCCAGAATTTTAGGATAGTTTGTTCTTTCTGTTTAAGGAGAATTTATGCAGCATTTTCTCAGGAAAGTTTCCAGTTCATTTCAAGGAAAGAACTGATTAAGAATTCAGACAGAACTGCAGAATTTGTCTATTACTCAATACAAAAGCTTGCTCTAGATTTGGGTTAAGGTTGGTTATTTCAGTCTATTCTGAAATTGCTATTTTTTGATGATGTAAAAATAGGGGGATTAGGTAGGAGTAATATTCTTTAAAATATAATTCATCTGAAGGTGGGTATGACTAATATTTAGAAAATGTATTTATAGGCCTTTGGCTCAATACTGGAGTGGAGATAGGCATACCCAAGAATAACCTGATATTGAAAATGTTACTTCTGCTCATGAGCCATCAACTCAGAGTAATCAAAAATAAAGTAATTTAGTGCAAAACAAGGTGATTCTCCTATTATATCCAACTTAAATTGCTAGAATCTACATACCATATAAAACCACTAAAATATTATATATGCTTTACCATACATTACCTTCAATCAAGAACATCCTAAAAAATTTTCATGTATAATCATATTTTAAGTTTATCACAGTACACAAAAAAGGATCTAAAAATTCACACACAAAAATTAAAGTTTTTTAGACTGCTAACAATGCACGGCTAACGCAATCAAAAAATCTTACTGAGTTACTTAGTGACATTTAGATGTAGAAGAAAATACAGATAAAAGGAGTATTGAAGAGACCTAGGTAATGCTTTTGGTGAAAAGTAGATGGCTTCTGAGTTTTGAAGAACCATTTTAACAAAACAAACTACCTTAGCTCCACCACCACCCTCCCCCTCCTCAGCATTTGACAAATACGGACATATCTCAATTCGGAGTCTTGATCTAATTTGCTAAAAATGTCCCGTTCTGCCAACGCTGTATTCAATTCTACAGCTAAACAAGTAATACACATTTTGTACGTTCACAGCAGTTACCATTAAGCAGTATTTTTACAGACTACCAGCTAAACAACGCTAATTGCATCATACTAACTCTATTACAGCTGACCAGTTTATTTGGAAGTGGGTTTAATTTCATTTCTGCATTATTACTGAAGTCATCAGATGATCACAGGGAAGACTTCCTGTTTCTTTACGATAGCACGCATTTATAGGAAAACACTTATGTCTGGTGGCAGAGCTCTGGTGGCACTAAACCAGTTCTTTAGGTAATTAAAAAATCAGATAGAGCTGCAGCATATCTAATGTAATATTAGGTACGTAAGCACAGAACATATTATAGGACCCCAAAACATCACAGCATTTATTTACAGTTCAAACATTGTTCATATTGATAGAAAATGAAATACTTGTTTTGTACGTGCTGGACAGGCTAAAATAATTAACTCATTTGCACGGCATCCTTCATAAAAATATGTCTTCAGCACAAGATCCCATAACCTTAACTGAAATACCAAAAAACGCTCTGGTTAGTGCCACAAAAGGGATAGAAAAGGATTTATATGCCAATGTAATGGCAGACAAATATAAAGGATGAAAGATTTTATTCTACAGCTGTTAATATTATGTATTTCTAGAACATTAATTTTGCTTTAGTTGTTTAGCAAGGTCATGACTAAACTGCATATACTGAAAATAAGGCTGACTTCAGTCTTTTGAATCTATGGTAATGTCGTCTTTCATCCACTGTAATGTGACTGAATCAAGAGAATTTATAGATTTTGGATTTATTTCTTTATGTTTAAAAGACAACTAATACCGCAGTTCATAGACCTTATTTTGCCTACTCTTTAGCAATTCCTAATTTCTAAGACAAAGATAGAGCCCCTAATTATAAAAGACAATTTCTTCCTCAGGAGTGAACGAACCAGAGGAACCTTTTAACGTCTACTCATATACAGAAGGGAGATCAGGCTGGTTCTCTGCTGGAGAAACTAAAATGAAGGACTATTTATGAAGTACTTGCAGCTTTGAATATAATCAACTGTAATAACAAGATAGAAGTTACAAAAAAAAATTCTTTTTGTTGAAACCACTTTTGTAATACTGCTTTTTAATAACCCTCATAATGGCCGAATTAGAAGGACCCCAACTGAAGTCATTCATCCCACATAAAACAAACATTGCTTTTTCTTCTTAGCTTTGTTTTACAAGCTACATTATTTCCAGATGACGCTTGAGGGGCCTAGGAGTTTCAAGAATTAGATGCTTAAACAGGCAGCTGCTTTCTATTTACCATATAAATCAAGGATAAATCAAAGAAGAATCTAAATATTGGACTTCATTTAGCCCATTATGGAGCACAAAATGAGAAGGAAAGCAAAAAAAGAAACATAGAAATCTCATCACCCAAACGCAAAGTTTAATTCTCGTTACTAAGATGAGAGGAAAAGCTCACTGAGATTTGCAGAATTCCAAGCCTCCACGTAACACCAGCCCCGCCCAGCAGGTAGATTTAACTGGATTGGTAAGGAGCCAGGAAAAGAGCAGTCTCTGATTGGGAACGCTCCCAGTACCATCAGGCTTTGCTACTGCAGACTTTTTATATCTGTACACGTATGTTCACATATATATACACACACATAGCTCACTGCACTCATATTCTTTACATTTTTCCCTTTGGGTTGCCGACATGCAGTTATTTCTACACCTTAACTAACACAGAAACAGCAGATTTTGGACAGGGGTTGAAAGGATGGCTCTTCATATATTCACAGCAGGCCATCTGTAAATAGGAGAAGTCTAACACTACACTACATTGTTTCTGTCACTGACAAAATCCCTCTACCATCCAAGTTCTGTTTAAGTGACAGTCCTATATATGAAATATTTGAAGGTATTGGTACTAAGTGAGATTATTTTTAGAATTTTTCCTAACACATTTAAGCTTCATCTGGCTACAACAATGCACATTTTTTATAGCCAAAATTTAGAAGGTAAAAAGTTAAACTGAAGTGAATTTTAGATTTTTTTTTCCTATGTGGCTAGTAATCATCTTTCTTACACTATTTTCTGTTCATATTATTCCATTAAAGCAACTGAAAGCTGTTAGTAAAACCCCACGGATGGTGGAGAGAAGAACTCCCAGCAGACAGCAGCGTGGGGTGCTCAGAACCATGACCCCTACCCTGGGCGTTGAGTGATTCTCAAAATGTGCTCCAAGGGTTTTTCATTTAACTACTAAGCCTTTACACCCACCACCAGTAAACAAGAGTTTGGGCTCCCACTGACATAAAATCCCTTGTCCCTGTGTTGCATTAGATGATGTTGAAATAAATTTAGAAACCAAATCAGAAGCTATGTATCCAAATACAGACTCAAGCAAAGATGCATTCCAAACTATTTGAATATAAAACTCTTCCTACATTCGATTTTTATTTTCCTCAAATTTTGCATTGAGTGATTTTTTTTATTATTCTTATTATTATTACATCAGTGAGAGAATTCTGAACCTCTGACACAAGCCTGCCAAAATCCAAAATTAACTCTTATTCTCCATCCCCTCCCTTCCTAGAAGTAGCTAGGGGGAATCTCTTGTTAGCAGCTGTAGTATAACAAGCATTGAAGTGCTCGAAAAGCATACACAACACTACAAAATCCTTAAAAAGCAACAATTTGGGTAGATGGTAGCTCCAACAACAGGTCTGATGTGTTACTTTCCAAGGGAAGCTCGCATGCCTCCAGTCATGCTGTTAAGTACTTCTGATTTAACAAATTACATTTGGCTGTAATAAAATTACAAAGAAAATCATTGATATGTTTACTTAAGTAATTTGTCTTGATTTGAACTGAAAGAAGCAAAATTCTCAATTATTTTATTACCAGTTTTCTTCTCTGTTAAAAATTTTGGAAAATGTGCTTTCACTGAATGCAAGAAAGCAATGAAAAAAACCTAACCGGATTTTTCCGATTTCTTCAAGCCTGGAGATACTTGCAGATAAGGACAACTTGACTGAAGTGCGGTATTTCAAAACAGGTCATTGCTACTATGAAAATAACGCTTAAAAATAAAGCTTAGTAAACAACCAGTTAACGAAGTAGCATGAGAACTGGTCTAACCAAGGATCCTGTCTCCAAGACGCTGGTTTGATGACAGGGGGTTCTTCTCTCCTCCCCTCCGCTTTCTCCATCCTCCTCCTGAATCACATCATACTGACTACAGTTTATCAGGAAAGAACCAGGAATCTGGTCCAGCCGTAACAAACAAAACAACTTGCTCTTTTCTTTTTTAAAGACCAGAAAACCTCAACAAGAACAACACAAAAGTCAACCGCGTCAGCTCCTTATTCTAGTTTGCAGCAAAATACCAGCAGCTTTGTTGGTACACCAGAGACCTGACGGGTGTCTGCAGCAGACACTCACACAACAAACACCGGAGAGTCCCACTATATTTTTAGCACCATCAATAATCGGCAGCTTAGGAAGAGTATATTAGCTCAAAAGCGTAGGTTTTTACAGTAATGAAATCAAAGTGCCATAGAAACACTACTACTGCTCAAGCACTCTGAAATTAAGCAATGTCCATCTCATCTAATCTCCATTTGCTCCCTCCTCCACAGCAGGCCGTGCCACAGCGCCTCTCCCATCGTACGATGCTCACAACGGACACGGCTCAATCCAAGATCACTGATGCCTTTCCCCTTCCATACCCTTCCTGGACCTAAGAAGGAACACACACTGTTTGCCATGATTTGTTTTTCAAAGTCTAGTACTCACAAATGAGTAGAAAGTCTCAAGAAAAGACCATAAGCAACACCGAGAACGATTTTATGTATGATTTAACCCTGACAACGTAGGTACCATGCAAATACACTTTCGGATTACAGAACACAGGAAGAAAAAAAAATTGTAAATGAAAAGTGAATTAAAACCAATGAGAAATGTATTTTAAAAACACATATTTGGCCTCAATGAAACCTGTAAAGGGAAAGCTTACTCAGCAATCCTCCTCCTAGACATAAACCTGGATGGAGCAGGCAATCTCGGTGCCATCCCTTTCCTTAGCTCCATGCTGGGATACAGTGGGAGAACGGGCTACAGGGCTTCAGACACTTCAAGTTATCTCAGTTCCTAGATTCTTCTCTCTTCTTACAGGCAACACAAATATGGGCTTTCAGAAGCAAGTATGCTGAAGTAAATGAAATCTGGCCTCAACTTTTACTCAAGTGTCTACGCCTCAGATTAAGCTGGGAAAAAAAAAGGCACACATAAAAGTATACATTCTTCTTTCCAAAGACAAGCCATGAACTTCAGTGATTTTACCCTCCCCTACAGCAATCTTTCCAACTGCTGTCCTTCTCCCCTCCCTCCCTACGTCATATCAACAAGAAAACGGAAGAAATTCAGTGAAGTATCTAAGCCTCAGGGCTGCACTCCAGAGTGCTTCCCCAGCCCTGCTCCATAAACCGCATTTCCCAGCTGTCTCCATCTGCACGGGGATAACCAGGTACAGCGAGCACCTGGGGTCTTTCCTCAGCTGCAGTATACAGTTTGCATCCAGTAAGTTAGAAAGAAGTCCAAAATCTATAAAATAGTTTTCAAGCATCAAATCCATACACACACACCGAAATATATACATATATATACAGCCAGATATATGTAAATATATGCCTATGTGTGCATGCACTTATATATATATTTATTTATATGTGCTCTCTTACAAACACATGTGTGTATCATGCTGGTTTGTTTCCCCTGAACAGTGGGGATGGTAATTTGTCTAGGGAAGAAAATACAAGGGTTCCTATTCATAAATCATCAAATGGTTTGGGTTGGAAGGGACCTTTAAAGGTCATCTTCAACTAAATATCAATATCCTCCTTCTGACAACAGGCCACATACAAAATACTGCAGTTCTCAAAACCATGAAAGCTGCTACACCATAAGCCCCTATTCCTTGAGAAACGAACCCATGGGGAAGGGCCACCAAATCCTCTCCAAGGTGTCTGAAGTCTCGGAGGCTTTCAGTTGTTCATGTCCATGCAGATGAAAGAGCTTTATCCAGCTTGTGTATCAGCACAAGGGGGATCTCCTGCTCTTTAGCCACACACTAACTGGAGGGGTTTCTTGCTGAAATGTTTCATTTCCAAAAATTAAAGGTCAGATAGCAACTTCTGGGACAGAAATCGGAAGCCCTAAAACCACAGGTGTTGTAAGGAGCTTCACATGAAATAGGGCATGGTAAGACATAGGAATACACAGGAAAAACCTGCAAGTGACTCATTTGCTCTATAAACCCGCGCGTCTCTGAATAACAAAGTGCCCCTAGTTTGTATGGTACATGCCAGGGATAATAACTAAAACACGCAGGTGAAAAAACCTGGTTAGTTGAAATAGACTTAACTCATTAAACGATTAGATCGAATTATCTTTTAAAGTATTTTTATACTTAACGCTAGAGTAATATGTTCTGTAAAGTCTCAGGCAGGTATGTCCTGGAACATGTATTAACACTGAAAATAAAACAATTGTTACATTTTCATCCTCAAAAATCCAGAGCAAGTGATAAATCAACTTACTTTTTTTTTTTTTTTAACACAGTATTGCAGTGAGAGTTCAAATGAGTACAAACCAAAGACACTTCAGTAGCACAAAGATATTATTCAAGTCCTTGGAAGACGTCTCCTTCTCGTACCGAAACCAGAGATTTTCCAACAAGCCGTGCAATTAAATTACAAAATTGTTGCCTATTTGTGGGTATTGGCTCAGTCAACTGAAGAGGACTGTACGTATCATATGTTCAGAACATACTAATTTGCCCCATGACTGCAGTCCTCCCCCAAAGGCTCCCTGGGAATCGTCTCAATCATCTGTAGGCATTTTAACATGCTGTACATGCCAAAGCCCCGTTCTTAAAAAATAATGTTTTTAACTGTATGATTTAAATACCCCGAAATACAAATGGCTCACGAATCGCAAGTTGACAGGGTACAGTAAGCCTCTTAGCTATGAATAGTTGCGGTTTTGTTTTGCCATTTGTAACTTTTTTTTTTTTTTTAAAAAGAAGTTTCAGACATGACATCATTCATACAGGTTCCTGTATTTTGGTGTCGGTGGTTGCTGAGCTGTTGCACATTTTGATAAATCTCTGCAGATTCAGGGATGTACCACTTCTATTTTGAAGAACCTACTAAAACATTAAGCTCGATACTCACATAATCAGGAAGCGGAGAGTCATTTGAACTGAGGGAACCTCTTAAGGACTGCGTGGCTTGCTCCAGCACTTTGTTGTGTTTTTTAGACAACAAAGAAAATAAACTGGGGGGGGGGGGGAGAAGGAAAAAAAAGAAGTTAAATAACTTCACAATAATGTCCTGAAATAGTTAAGACTATCCAGTCAGAAGAGATGCTTTATTATATAAACAAATGTGAATAAAGAGATTTTTAGAATGCAACGCACAATAGTTATAGACCTTATTTATCTATTTAACATCTGGGCTAAACAACAGCAGAATTTGAATAACAGATATTCTACATAATAAACAATGTGAAGAACATCGTATGTTCATGGTTAAATCCTTAAAAGTCAAACCGTAACAGAAGGAATTATATACATGCAATTTTACTTCATAACTAGCACGTTTCAGCTAAAATGCAATTTTTAAGTTCAGCATCTCGTGCAATATATTGCAATGTGTCCTTAAGCATATTGTGTATTATTCATTTCAGTAACCTAATTGCTTAGTACAGGAAGAACCCAAGTATATGACAGAAGCTTTGGGTATTTTGAGGCTGAGTTTTGCATTTTACCAGTATATGTTATTTTCAAATTTATTTTAGCTTAAGTCAAGGAATAAAACATTACCTTAGCTTTACAAATAATCTGTGAAATCAGAGGTCCATATACACCCAGAGAAATAAACTTTTTTTTTGTGCATTTTGAAAAAAGGCATGGCAATGACACTCAAGAGGATGGCATAATGTGATTATAAAGAGAATGTAACTTGACTGCACTGGTGGAAGGAGAGATGAGAAGTAAGCAGAAGCAGTGGACAAAGGCCACCAGCTAGTGCTCAGCAGCTTCAAGGAGTCAGATAATTCTGTAATGCTGCTGGGTTCCTCAAACAAGTTTTTCAATTCATAGATAACCCGCCTTCCCTGCTCCCCATCTTGGTATAGGCCATATGTTTTAAGACTTTCTGTGCTTAAAAACTTTTTTCTGGCTTCTTTTTGGAGCATTTCAGGACTCCTGTCAGGCTTTTCTAGGGCGACTTGTGTTGCTTCTTAGACGGTAAAAAGGCTGCCTCGACAAATAAGCATCAACAAAATTCACTAATGCCTGAGCAGCCTGCTCTTGGAGTTGGTTATACTTGCGACAAGGAGCAGTGGCAGTCTACTTGTTCACCAGATTCAGTTACAAAATATTAAATCCAGTTCAGTAACTAAAAAAATAAGTGGCAAAATACTACCTCAGTGTTACATCCTAGAGAGCCTCCATTTCTTGGAATTGGATGACAGATTCAGTGCTCAGAAGCATGTGCTTGGAAAGCTTTTCTGCCTCAAGAAATCGTGCTCAGCATTTCAAGAAGTCCTCCTAATTTTTTTTACTTCAAATATATCATTGATATCGTATCCTTCACAGATGGTAGGAGTAGATTCCTCAGAGCATCAGCGCTTGTCCCCTTGTTGCTAGTCAAGAGCCTCAGGAAAAGGCTTTTCCAACACTTCTCACCACCACAAGGAATTAGTTACGCTTCTCAAGAGCCAACTCAACACATTCCACCATCTCCTAACATCTCTTCAGTCAGGTGTTCCTTAGAACAGATCAACAGCTTCCTTTTAAGGACAACTTTTGCAGCACTTAAGGCATCTAACTAACTCACATGAGAGCCCTTGGGTTGGTTGTACCATCCTCAAGGTTCAGCCAGAGTCTGCCAGCACAAGGAATGGGTTTGAGACGGCACGGCCGAAAGCAGGGTCGGTACTGTGGCTGCCCAACTCCCAGTCCCACCAGGACACTACCGCCGAGGTGGGGATAAGCACAACTGGACTGACAAGGCAAGAATGCTGGGTGAGATTACAAGACCTCCATGGTGGTTACAGGGGCTGAGAACATTTGGTGTTTTCAGGATAACACAACATATTTGACGTCATGGAAACCAGAATCTTATTTTTCACCTTTGCGCTATACAACAGAGCCTTGACAAGACTTGTCATTCCTGGGACCAAATGTCAACCTTCCACTAATACACAGGTATTAGGCCAAACCACTAGAACATTCCCTGTTAAAAAGGGAAGAAGCAACACAGAAAGAAGGTACATTAACAGGCTTTCCACCTTTTTCTCCTCCCATAATATGCTATTGTGTTCACACACTGAAATTCTTGTTCAAATCAAAATTTGGATTTGCAAACTGGTCCTTGGTCTGAAACAGCAGCATTACTTTTGGAATCATTGGTATTTCTGAAGGCTCAGATTTCAGACATACTATCTTCAGCACCATCTAGTGCTGCGGAGACAGAATAATCGGTTAAAACCAACCTGGTGATGCTTATGAGGGGGTGTGCAGCAAGAACAGGTTAAATCTGGTGTCTGTCTGCTTCAGAAGATACAGATAATTTCACAACAAGGAAGAATTTGGAACAAAAAAAGTTTTCCAACTAGTAGATTCTCTTCCAAAATACATAAAGTCTTTTGGCTAGAAAGGAAATTTAAATATAAACAAAGAAGTGGGATCAGGATTTTGTAAAGTGCATTTATTAGATACATGTTAAGAGGAAAATGCACATACACTGGTATTCTGCACGGAATTGGAATAGCAAAGAGCAAATTCATGTTCTCTGACAGAATTGTAGGGAACTGGAGAAAAAGGAGGAGAAAGGAAAAGAACAGAAGACTATTTCTTTATATCCTATTTTTGCTCCCCTAAATATTTTCCTTTTTTTTAAAAAAAAAAAACAAATTAAGTGTAAAGTAACTAAACTAGAGTGCTTGTTTATGGCATAAGCAAGCCCCTGGTGGCCAATTTCTACTTCCAAAGCAGCAGTGAGGGGGTAGGCTCTATTATACGTTGTCTTTGGCACCAGGGCTTCCTCTTGCAAAGTTTTGCTTCCCTGCCACATATCTCATCACCTTCACACCTGAGCTGAGACACTTCTTTGTGGGACCACTGCCCAAAACACCAATATTCAGGCTAAAAAAACCCAAAACAATTCTCTTCTTCATAAATTGGTTATCCTTCTCCAAGAACCATCCCTTAGACGAGCATGAGGGCAGGGACACGTAGGCAGAAATTTTTCATACAAAGAATAAAAACATGTAGAACTGCCCCCAGAGCAAACAAACAGCTCCACAGAAACACTACAACTAAACAGAAAAATTTAAGGCCAGATACTGTGATTAAGTAATGAATTTGGAGCTCCAAAGGAGCTCCTGAAACTTCACCACCAAGAAATTAACTTGTTATTATGCCTCTATCTTTGCCTCTGAAAAAAAACTTGATAAATATCAACTTCATTTTTGAAGTATCTGAACAGATAGAGTCACAATCTTCAAAAGGCACCTCCATGAAAGTTAGCTCATAAAAGTCTTTTATCATCGACAAACGTTGCCGTCTAAAGGAGATGCATGATTTCACGGCAGTCACATCTTCAGTGTCTGTAAAGTTTTGGGCTTTGTTTTGATTTTTATGGTATGAACAATGCAATTCAGAAAAGGCAACAATGTTTTACAACAAGGATGTTCCCCTCCCAACAACAAGATACAAGGGACAAGTGCCAGTTCACGCAGAGGTGGGAATTAAAGACCGTCTCCCAGACCTCCCTCTTGTGTCTCAGTCACGCTTCTATTTCTGCCCCACTAAAAATCAAGTTGAGATCAAACTGAAAAATATATATACTATGTGGTCACAGACAGTAGACTGCACAGGTTGACAAGTATATGGATTTTTCTACCAGAATACTTTTCCTCTTTCTTCTATTCTTCTCCATTGACTGTCAAGACAGGCTACAGAGCTCAACAGCCCTTTGATCTCACCCATCATGGACATTTTATAATAATAACAAATTATGTTCAGAACAATGAAAATGTCTTGGTACCTCAACCCATCTCTCACTCACAGGAGTACTTATGGACCAAAGTTCAGCAAACAAAATAATAGGCTGGAATAACAGCAAGATGAAACAACAGCTGGCATTTATTACAGATCATCAAATCACACCACAGATGAGCTCAACCAACGAGGAAGACTTGGGGCTGAACAACAACCTCAACGTCTTGTGTTTCTGATTTTCAGGAACTAAGAAAGCATTGAAATCCCTCTACATAGATGAAGTTTTTAATTTAACACAAGGCTGAATTTTGATCAATAAAAAAATAATTACAGACTAAACACTAACGGTTGCCTAAACACAAGTGATTTGATGATGTGTTATTTGCACATGCAATAAAATTCAAACCAGTAATATATGAACTTAACGCTTTCATAAAGCCAATTTCACAAAAGCCTGTGGATCCAAAAAAACATTCCCCAATAATGGGAACTCATTTAATAACTTTCTGCTTGGTCCACCAAAAATCACAAGCCAACAATCATGGAAAAAAAAAAAAAGCTTCTGCAAGTTCTGCAGAAAGTCTGATTTACAGCAGATTGAAACAGCTCATAAAATATACTTCTCACACACAAAAAATGAATGTATAGAACTGAACTTTTACAACTAAAAGATCTGGGAAAAAAGATAAGGGAATTAAAAGCAGAAATTGAAAGTACATCCGAAGTTAGAATCTGCCAAAAACTGGAGCTTTCTGAAAACTTTGGACAACGAGAAGGAAGGTACCAGTGCACTTTATTTTAGGAAAGTAAATACAATGACCCAAGATAATGATATGCCAGTTAATCCTGAGTATAATAATGGAACAGCAATTGTGAGATTCATTCAAATGAGGGTATCACCAGCATAGAAAAAGAGATCTTATCAAGCACACTGAATTTTTTTTTATAATGAGACTGTAAACAAAACAAAGCATGATAGCACCCCTGTTGCAACATGCTTCTCCCTGTCATTTATATGACTTTGTCCCACATGGGATTGTTCTTTATTAAGAAACTTGAATGATAAAAAAGCAACATGGCATGTGTTATATGAACTGAAAATGAGACACCTCAACAGTTCGAAAAATCTTCAAATTTGAATCTCGAAATAAGTTTTCTTAATAGGGCCAAATAGGAATATATTCCTGTCCCTTCTAAATACCAATAGATATTTAATACTTGCTAAAGCAACCAAAATACTTTCAATGATACAGAGATGATATATAAG